AAAATGAATGTTTCAGGATTCACTGTGGGTTAATGAGATTTGGAAAGGCTGCATGGAGGACGTGCCACCAAATTACTCCATGAAGGTTGGAGAGAAGCTATAAAGCTAAGTTTCAGGGGAAGGAAGGCTGTAACACAAAGCATAGGGGCAGGAGAGTCTGTGGTATACTTAATGATGACTCAGTATTTTCATAAGGTTAACTTAGGCCACCTGACTGGCTCAGTCACTAATGCATGAGACTCTTGATCTCTGAGTTGTGAGTTCAAGCTCCACATTGGGTGTAGAGATTACTTAAAAATAAAATATTTTTTTTAAAAAGGTTACTAGAATGTAATGTAATGGATATGATTCAGTTGGGCTCTGTTGGGACTCAATGGTTCTAACCCTATGCAACCCATTGCCATTTTTTAATAACATATTTTGTTTTGCTTCCTTTACTGCATAATATTAAAAATTATATAATACTCTAACTATAAAGGATAAATAGAAGAATAACCTTTAGTAAAAAATATGTATTTGATCCTGCTTTTAAGAGGTATCTAAGGTAGTCAAACTCTTAGACACAGAAAGTAGAATGGTGGTTGTCAGGGGCAAGGGGAGAATAGGAAAAGAGGAGTTATTCAATAGATACAGAGTTTCAGTTTAGCAAGATGCAAAGTTCCAGGGATATTTTGCACAACAATGTGCATACACTTAATACTACTGTATTGTACATTTAACAATGGTTTTAAGATAGTGGGGTACCTGGGTGGCACAGTTGATTAAGCAACTGACTCTTGGTTTTGGTTTAGGGTCCTGAGATGGAGTCCTGTACTCAGCATGGAGTCTGCTTGAGATTCTCTCTCCCTCTCCTTCTGTCCCTTCCACTTGTGGTCTCTTTCTCTCTCAAATAAATAAGTAAATCTTAAAAAAATGGTTAAGATAGTCAATAATATTATGCATTTTTTACTGCAATTAAAATATGAATTTGAATATACTAAGTGGATTTCTTTTCATGTAGTATGCTCAGGATTCATCCCTACTGTGTCTAAAGACACACTTCCTATTGTCAGTTGTGGGAAAAATGCTTCTTTCATGTTCTCTGTATTCTTTTTTGGAACTCATATTAAATGTATATTAGACCATATCATCCTCAATGGCTCTCTCTTTTTTTTTTAAGGTTTTATTTTTAAGTAACTTCTATACCCAACATGGGGCTCAAACTTAAACCCTGAGATCAAGAGTTGCATGTCCCATTGACTGAGCCAGCCAGGTGCCCCATTTTGAATATATATATATATATATATATATATATATATATATATATTCAAAATCTTGTCATCTATATAGTAGGATAGTTTTTTTGTTTCTCTCTCTCTCTTTTTTTCTTTTTTTTTTTTAGATTTATTTATCTATTTGAGAGAGAGAGCGAGAGTGTGTGCAAGACTGTGTGGGGGTCGGGGCAGAGAGAAAGGGAGAGACAGTGTAAAGCAGTCTCTGCATTCTGTGTGGAGCCCTACTTGGGGCTGATCTCACAACCCTGAGATCATGACCTGAGCCAAAACCAAGAGTTGGATGCTTAACCAACTGGGCCACCCAAGCCCCTCTGTTTCTTCGGGGTTTTTGTTTATTTGTTTTTGCAATTGATCTTGCCTTTTACTTTCTTGTCTTATTGCCTTGGCTAGAACTTGCAATATTATGTAAAACAGAAGTAACAAGAATGGTCATCCTTGTCTTGTTTCTGATTCTTATGGAGGAAAGCCTTGTCTTTCACCACTAAGTATGATGCTAGCTGTGGGGTTTTCAAAGATGCTTTCTATCATATTGAGGAAATTCCCTCCTATTACAGAGAGAAAGAGAGAGGAGGCAGGGGAGACACAGAGAGGGAGAGAGAATCCTAAATAGGCTCCATGCCCAACTCATAGCCCACCTCTGGGCCAGTGTGGGGCTGGATCCCACAACCCTGATATCACGACCTGAGTTGAAATCAAGAGATGGTTGCTGAGCCACCCAGGCACCCAGCTTGTCTGCTTTTAAAGTGGGATTTAGGGTGTTTCCAAAAGTATGCTGCTGCTTCTGCGAACTTTTGAGAATTCTCCATGTTTGCTGTCAAAAAAAAAATCATTTTTAAAAAGATTTGTTGGGGAGAACCCCCAAAGGTATTGTTCTATCTGAGACTCCCCTTTTTAAATTCAACATTTATTGAAGACTTATGGATCCATTATCAAAAAATAAACTAATGACTATGACCTTTCGCTCTCAAAGATCTAGTTAAAAATAGAGCTACCCTATGACCTAGCAATTACACTACTGGGTATTTACCCCAAAGATACTGAAGTAATGAAACGACAGGACACCTGCGCCCCAATGTTCATAGCAGCAATGTCCACAATAGTCAAACTGTGGAAGGAGCCACGATGTTCTTGGACAGATGAATGAATAAAGAAGATGTGGTCTATATATAATAGAATACTACTCAGCCATCAGAAAAGACGAATACCCACCATTTGCTTCGACGTGAATGGACCTGGAGGGTATTATGCTGAATGAAATAAGTCAATAGGAGAAGGACAATCATCATATGGTTTCACTCATACGTGGAATATAAGAAATAGTGAAAGGGATTATAAGGGAAAGGAGGGGAACTGAGTGGGAAAAATTAGAGAGGGAGACAAACCATGAGAGAATCCTAATTCTGGGAAACAAAAGGTTGCATAAGGGGAGGTCGGTGGTAAAGGGTAACTGGGTAATGGGCACTAAGGAGGACACTTGATGAGATGAACACTGGGTGTTATACTATATGTTAGCACATTGAATTTAAAAATAAATAAATAAATAAATAAATAAATAAATAAATAAATATTAATGACTATGACCCTTCGCTCTCAAAGATCTCAATTAACAATACTAGTAGTTAAATCTTTTCATGTAGTTAGGTCTACCTTAATCTCATATACAGCAGATTGTTGTTTGACAGCATAAGACCTGGTGATTTTATTTTCATTCAGTCTTAGTTTAGTATGTTTTGCAAAACAGAATAATACAGCTTTGGAAAAATCAATGGCTCTCGCATGATCTATCAGCACTTTTCCTACACATGTCACCTTCTGTTTACATGGTTCTTTACTGTTCTGGTTGTTTCTGCTTGCTAAGCAAATTCTGTCAATAAATAAATAAGTAAGTAGTAACTAGGAAATAATAGGGCCCAAACCGAACTTGTTCATTTACTAAAAGTGCTCAGAGATTGTCAAGTACAGCTATTGATTTCAAAGAAATTCTGTTGGGGAAAGATTTTCTTTATAAGGACTATTTAGCTCTGAGATAGGTTCCCTAGAATAATGTCAAGGGAAAATTACTTTTTAGTTTACTTATCTTTTACGTAGAGTGAATACATCTAGTGTTTGCTTGGATAATGTAGTTTGATAAACAATTTTGCACAGGAAACACAAACTTTAAAAAGTGAAGTTTTCCTGGTGTGTGGGGTATTTCCAAAATCTGTGTTTCTGCATGTGAGGAACACTTGTACCTTTAGCTCCTGACAAAGTCCATGAACATGTTTTGTGCATATTTACTCCTACTTGCCAGAAGCCTAACTAGGTAAAATTCCTATATACTAGGAATAGGGGCAGTGCTTGAAACTACTTTTGGGAGAATTTCTTACTTTATGTAAATTTCAACATCCGAGTGATGAAGTTTTGGAATATAGGTGAGGTCTGGAGCCGATGACCAAGAAAGAATTCTTGAGGTGTCTTTGGTGCAAAATGGTAGTTTTATTAAAGCCAGGGGACAGGACCCGTGGGCAGGAAGAGCTGCTGCCCTGGGCCTCGGAGGGGTGGCTGATTATATACCTGGGAGTTGGGGACAGGGGTGGGTGTTTGAGGATAGCATACTCTCTAAAGGATTTTGGAAACAAGGTTTCCAGGAACTTAGGGGGCTAGCTGTTGTTGGGAAAAGGTCACTTATTACCGTCTAATAAAACCTGAGGGTCATGAGACCCTTCAGATGTGTATCAGTGGGCCATATGGTTGAAGGATGATTGCCAATGTATTTTGGGGGTTTAGAGATAAAGGAAAATTCTAAAGGAATTTTTATATGTTAAAGTAGACTTACAGGCTCCTGGGGGTTGCAGTAAGATTGCCTTTTGCCCTTAGCAAAGTATTAACGTGGAGGCTAGAGGAATGTCCCTTTGCCTGTTTTAAGGACTCTGCCTGTGTCTCTCATGAATAAATAAAATCTCAAAAAAAAAAAAACTTGTCAATGTGCTGCCTGCCCGAGGCTCGTGCCTTATCCTCAGCTACCCCTGTTCCTCATCAATAGAATGACTTCTCTTAAAACAGAAAAAACAAAACAAAACTATACTCATTCTAGCTCCTGTCTTCCTTCTTTTAAAACAGCACTTAACCTTTTTTTTTTTTAAGATTTTATTTATTTATGAGACACACACAGAGAGAGAGGGGCAGAGACACAGGCAGAGGGAGAAGCAGGCTCCATGCGGGGAGCCCGTGCGGGACTCGATCCCAGGACCCCAAGATCATGCCCTGGGCCTAAGGCAGGTGCTGAACCGCTGAGCCACCCAAGGATCCCTGCACTTATTAACTTTGGATGTCATTTGCAAAACTAATACAGACTCAACGTGGAATAGGGGGAAGATTCAGTAAAGTATAAACATTTTGCTTCCACCATCTAGAGACCGCAATGAACATTTTTCTTTAAACGGTAGTGGGGTGTCGTGAACTGTTTCGTAAACTGTTTTTTTCCCCCTGGTTTACCATTTTCGACTATTTTTACAACGACTGCTGTCCTTGTCCACAGTCGGTCGCAGGCCCCGCGGGGGGGTGGGGGGGCGCTTATCTCTCCCCGGATCTCCTTCCGCAGCAGGAGGCTGCCTCGCTCACTCTGCAGCTGCGCGGCCAACGGGGGCGCGGTCCCTTTAAGGGGCGGGCACGGGGGGGGGCGGGGCGGTCCCGGCGCCGATTGGCCGAGCTCGGGGCCACGTGGCCGTCCTGGCTGCGCAGGCGGCGGCCCGGCTCCGGACGCAGTCTGGGTGCTCCCCGCGGGGTCCCCGGGAAGGGGCGCGGGTTGACCCATGTGCGTGAGGAGGTGCCTGGTGGGCCTCACCTTTTGTACCTGCTACCTGGCTTCTTACCTCACGAACAAGGTGAGGGGGCGGGCGTGGGGTGGCGATGATTGCACGCGGGAGATCTGAGTCCGCACAGCGAGTGGAGCTGATGCAGCCTCCCGCATCCTGGTGGTGGTGGAGAGGAAGCCTACTCTGTGGCATCCGCAGGTAGAAATAGGATGTGTGGAACCGTGCCGGCCCTGCCTGCTTCCCGTCCTGTAAAGCATCCCTTGCATCTGCAACACCGAAGTTTTTGATTGGCGAATTTCCAGGAAATTAATTTGGGGTTGTGCATACTACTTTTTTTTTTTTTTTAAGATTTTATTTATTCGAAAGAGAGAGAGAGGCAGGCAGAGGGAGCAGCAGGCTCCATGCAGGGAGCCCGATGCGGGATTCGATCCTGGGACTCCAGGATCACCTGGGCCGAAGGCAGGTACCCAGCCGCTGAGCCACCCAGGGATCCCCTGCATACTACTTTTTTTTTTTTCATATCCCAGTACATTTATTTATTTATAATTTTTTATTTATTTATGATAGTCACACAGAGAGAGAGAGAGAGAGAGAGAGAGGCAGAGAGGCAGAGACACAGGCAGAGGGAGAAGCAGGCTCCATGCACCGGGAGCCCGACGTGGGATTCGATCCCGGGTCTCCAGGATCGCGCCCTGAGCCAAAGGCAGGCGCCAAACCGCTGCGCCACCCAGGGATCCCTGCATACTACTTTTAAGGGAAATAAAGCAGTTGCTTCTTGTCATCTCAGGGAAGGCGGAGTAGAAGAAATCTGACAAATCTGTCTTCTTTTTCTACAACATACCCCTGCTCCTAGAAACCCACAAAGTTCAGGAAGCTTTTAAAAAGAAGAGATCAATCAATCCATTTCCATCTCCATCTTTCCCTCACGTCACAGACTCCCAAACTTTTTCTTTTTTTCTATGTCTCCATCCCAGACACTTCCAGTATATTCAAGAGGTTTTCATGAAAATATTTTGGAAAATAAAATGTGAAATTTATTTAAAGTAATGTCACGTAATTCATCTTAATGAAAAGGCAGGTAAGCAGTGGCACCATGTTTTTATTTTGTTAGGAGGGGGAAGCTGGCCTTGGATTTAGTACCATGCAGGGAAATGTTGGACCCCTGTGGGGTAGAGTGGGGCAGCTCCTCCTGTCAGGGACATTGGGCTGGACACCAAGGTAAAGTGGTGATACCAGGCCCAGGATCACCTCCCACCATAAGGTCTCCATGCCCCCCCACCCCCAACCCCAAACCCCTCATGCTTTCTGGAAATAAACTATTAACAAATAACATTTCCTTATACCTGTTCTCCTAATGTGAGTAGCTGTCTTCAGTGCACTCAGAGGATACTCCAGAACCCTCTTTCCCCATGTCCAGTTGATTTTTAGTTCTAATGATGAAGATCCATAAATAGTACCTTCCTGGGAGGCAGTGATGGGTTTACATCCTGGCTCCACTCAACTTGATCTTTGGGACTTTAATTTCTCTAAACCTAAGTTTTTAAACTTTAAGGTAGGATTAGCAAGTCTTCTTCAAAGAGTCGTTCTAAGGATTAATGGAAATTATGTTAGTGAGGTGGCTGGACAAGTGCCCAACATCATAGTAAATTAGGTAAGTGGTAAATACTCTAGAAGAAACGGAAGGAAGGAAAGACAGTGTTTTGCTTATGGTATGATACAGTAATTATTAGCTTTTAACAGATTTGTTTCTTCCTCATTGAATAGATAGCTAAAGTAAAAGGTTTATTTTAGCACCTTTTCTGGAATATGTGAATTTGTGAAATCCTGGCCTTTTCACTTACATATTCTAATTTGTCTAGTTAACCTGATGAATATATTGGTAACGTTTCACTTAAAAACAGAATGACCTTCCTTTTATTTTCATATAATCATCAGAAGGGAAGAGTGAGAAGTCTTCATGAAAACCCACAAGCAGCGTTATTGGTTAACAAAGGAAGTACCCAAGTAAAACAGTCCTGCAGGCAGATAGCATTTAGTTCATAGCAATTTATACCCTCTCTGGATGCACATTGCATCTATGGAATTATTTTTCTATTTACTGGGGCCTCTCACCATTTTGCAATCAATGTAATAAAGACGGTAGTACATTCCATGTGCATCATGCCTCAAGGTACTAGATAAAAAAATAAAAAACAAAAACAAATAAAACAAATTGTCATGTGTTTAGGAGAATCTGATCTGAGTAATAGAAATCGTAGATTCCCAAGGACCCTCAGAATTTCAATAATAAATCCTTTTCCATTTTCCACAAAGGTTTGGAGTGCTTTGGTTCAGGGCTCTGGGGAATGTCAGAGTAGATGGAAAGCAGAAGAACAGTAAAAGGCAGAGAGAAAGGGAGGTGAGATTATATAAAGGAGAAAGAGGAAGTGGAGGCAAGAGTAGCAGAAAGCAGGTGTGAGGCCTGGGTAAGGTTGGGAGAGGTAGTCCTTCATAATGGGACTCTGGTAGGGACTTTGTAACTCTCAGATTATGCCATTGTTTCACCCCAGGACAGTCATGCTTCTTTCTGGCCTCCATGGCAGTTTGGCTTGGACCAAGTAGGGGCCAAATGAGAAGGAGCTGTGCCCTGGGCTCCCCAGCACATAGTGACTGCCAAATGAATTTTCTTTTGAATCAATAAAGATTATTTTATGTTTATAGGACAGGATCCTCTCTTCCAGTTTTTAGTAGACTCTATGCTGGTTTTTTTTATTTCTCTATTTCTCAGTATAGTTTCCTCCGCAAACCATCTCCCTGTGTTTGTAAAAAGAAAATTGATTAAAAACAAACAAAAAACCTTGCCTATTTTAGGCTTATTGCTTCTAGTGTTATAAGAATGGTTGATTTTGGTTTCAACAGCAGGTGTTGTGGCTCTCTGGACCTAGTCTGAGTGACACGTTGCTCCAGCCTGTGGAGATTCTGGCGGTAACCAGCCCTGTGGGGCCCAAGCAGCTACTGGTCCTTCTTCCTCTTATGGCTGTTAAGCTTTCCGCCTGGAGTCAAAGTCCACATCTGTTCTCCTTTCAAAGGCTCCTTCTTTTTCCTACGAAGTGCTCACGGCTGTTCCATTAAATAGCATTTTGTCCTGAGCAACACTTTTCAGTGACATGAAGAATTGCCGAAAGAATAAATATTAGGACTTAATTTCATTTTTCAGAGATTTCTTTTTTCACTCTTGTTTAGCAAGGTAAGAACTTCAGCATTTTCTATCTTCACCCCCAGTATCTATGACAAATTTCAGCACACAGTAAACTAAATAAATATTTATTATCTTCATGAAGGTTTTCTTTCTTAAAGGTTTTATTTATTTATTCGTGAGAGACAGAGAGAGAGGGGTGGAGAAGCAGGCTCCATGCAGGGAGCCCTACATGGGACTCGATCCTGGAATGCCAGGATCATGCCCTGGGCCGAAGGCAGGTGCCAAACCGCTGAGCCACCCAGGGATCCCCTTCATGAAGGTTGTTAAGGGTGATGTAATGCATGGCCCAGATGCTCACTTTATCCTTTCTCTGTCTCTGTTTTTTTTTTTTTTTTTAAGATTTATTTATTCGAGAGAGAGAGAGAGAGAGAGAGGCAGAAACACAGGCAGAAGGAGAAGCAGGCTCCATGCCAGGAGCCCAACGTAGGACTCGATCCCAGGACCCCAGGATCACACCCTGGGCCAAAGGCAGGTGCTAAACCGCTGAGCCACCCAGGGATCCCCTGTCTCTGTTTTTTTTTTTTTTTTTTAAAGATTTTATTTATTCATGAGAGACACACAGAGAGAGGCAGCAGGCACCCTGTGGGGAGCCTGATGCAGGACTTGATCCTGGGATCCCAGGATCATGCCCTGAGCTGAAGGCAGATGTTCAATCACTGAGCCACCCAGGCATCCCTCTGTCTCTGTTTTAGAATGAAAATATCAAGGAAGAGTGGGGAGGAGCATACTGAATTATGTGAATAAGTAGATTTCGGAAGCAGAAGGTCCATCTCTAGTGAATATTGATCAGAGCACAGCAGTTAGCCGTAATTGTGACATTTAGGAGCTCATACTAGAAGGCCTTGGTGTAGTTTTTGTTTGTTTGTTTGTTTGTTTTTTTGCCTTGGTGTAGTTTAAAAACAAGTATGTAAATTTGCCCAACCCCAGTCCATTCTGTTTTTTAGATCATGTGAAGAATCAGTAGAGTCCTTGCCTAAAGCTTTTAATGGTTTTTAAACTTTCCAAAAATTCTTAGTGTCCAATAGTAGGAAAAGATACCCAGGAAGACAAAACATAGTCCCCTCATTCATGAAGTGTTGTAAAAGACAGACTAGAAATACAAGTTGACCTTGGTCAGATTGGTTTGAAAAAATCCTTAAAATGCTAAAGCACAGAAAAAATTAATGATGCCTAAGCAGAATTAGCTAAAAAGAAAAAAAAGGATCTTTAGAATGCAAAAACCAAATTCTCCCAAATGGAAGAAACATGAAGGAAACAGAGTATGATGCAGTTCTTCCTTGAAGAGAAACAAAGGAGGGGTTTGGATTTTTAGGTAAATTGGACAGTAGATAACGTGAATACTTTGAGAAAAGAGACTGTGTCCATTTTTCTTGAGTTTCTGCAGCTCCACCATGGCACTTCTGGGGTCTGGAAAGAGGCTGAATGGTTGGGCATCCACAGCATCAGACCCAGCTGCTGGGCATCCCAATTTGCTAATGATCCCAGTTCCATTCCCCAACTGAGAGGTGGTCAGGCATCTGATGAGCCTGCAGAAAAACAGACCCACTCTTTCTCATATGACTTGGAAGGTCATTTTAAAATTTTTGCCCAGTGTGTGATTTTGAGGGGAGAAGGATAAAAGTCTTTTTGAAATTCGAGTGTACTTAGGTTTCTTCAATAAGAATTTCTTTCATTATATGATCAGTTCTCTATAATTTGTTCATTACTCTGATATTTGTTTTTCAGTATGTCCTGTCTGTCTTGAAATTTACCTACCCTACATTGTTCCAAGGGTGAGTATCTTTTATGCTTTTTGTACACATTTGTGGGACATGTCCAACCAGCATCATTAGCTGTACTTTGTACTATTTTTAGGGGTGCCTGAGTGGCTCAGTAAGTTTAGTGTCTGACTCTTGATTTCTGCTCAGGTTCTGATCTCAGAGTCTTGAAATGGAGCCCTGCTTTGGGCTACGCGCTCAGCAGGGAGTCTGCTTGAGATTTTCTTTCTCTGCCTCTTTCGGCTCCTCCTTCTGCTCACGTGCTATCTCTCTCCGATAAATAAATCTTTTAAAAAAATGTTTTTAATGACTACATAGATTTTCTTTCTTTTTTTTAAATCTAATAGACATACTGTAATTTATTTAACCATCTTATTAATGGGCATTTAAATTGTGTCCTATTTTGAAGGATAAAAACAATAATATTATCAGACATTTTTTGTATTCAAATCTATCAAATTTCTAGCTATTTCTTTGGGATATTAGATTCCAATATTAGAAATTTGGGTTAAAGCATATGAACTTCTTTAGTATTCCTCTTAGATATTAAGTTCTTTTCCAGAAATGTGTTACCAATTTACATTGTCACCCAGCCTCTATATGACAGCTTCTATAATGTACTCAAACCATGACTGTTTTTTTTCTCTCTGATGATTTCATGAGTCCCAAATGGTATAACACTTTTTGTCTTATCATTTCATAGATTATTAATGAAGTTGGACAGTTTTCTTATGTGTGTTACCTACTTGTATCGATATTATCAGTGAATTGTCTATTTGTGCCTTTTCTCCTTTTATTTTTACTGGGGTGTTAGTATTTTTTCTTATTAATTTAATGACTTTCTCATATTTTAAGATGCCAACCACTTGTCCATCATGTTTATTAGAAATTTCTTTTTTTTTTGCAGTTTGCCCTTTGCCTTTTATTTTGTTCATAATTATTTTGATTTTTCAAATATATTTTTAAGTAATATCATAGAGAATTTATTGCTAAAACATAAGAAGGAAGCAACAGAGAAAACTACAGATAAATCTAGCATGTGGTGTTATTTTTTTTTAAGATTTTATTTATTTATTCATGAGAATACACAGAGAGAGAGAGAGAGAGAGAGAGGCAGAGACACAGGCAGAGGGAGAAGCGGGCTCCATGTAGGGAGCCTGACGTGGGACTCGATCCCAGGTCTCCAGGATCATGCCCTGGACTGAAGGCGGCGCTAAACCACTGAGCCACCCGAGCTGCCCGCGTGTGGTCTTATGATTGAAGAATGTCATTATTAAAAAGAAGATAGAAGGAAAAAGTGTGGAGCTGGGTCAGTAGTCAAGATGTTGTAGAAGCAGCATGGAGGGCTCTAGCACTCACTTTTCCCTTCCTCACCTCATCTCCATTCAAGCTTTTAATTTTTTTATTTAGTTAGTTAAGATCTATTTATTTTGGACAGAGAGGAAGAGAGGAAGAGAGAAAGCACAAGCATGGGAGAGGGGCAGAGAGACAGAGAAACTCAAGCAGACTCTGTGCTGAGTAGGAGCCTGATGTAGGGCTCGATCTCACCACTCTTAGATCATGACCTAAGCTGAAACCAAGGGTTGGACACTCAACTGATTGAGCTACTCAGGCACCCCTCCACTCAAGCTTTTTTTAAAAAGTTGTTTTATTTTTATAGTGGACAAATATATTGATAATTATGATTGGTACCATTGCTTTTTTAAAAAATTTTTATTTATTTTTTCATGAGAAACACACAGAGGGAGTGAGGCAGAGACACAGGCAGAGGGAGAATCAGGTTCCATGCAGGGAGCCCGACATGGGACTCGATCCCCAGTCTCCAGGATCATGCCCCAGGCGGAAGGCAGGGGCCCAACCCCTGAGCCACCCAGGCGTCCCCCTAAATTGTTTTAATTATTATAACATTTAAATATGTCATACAGCATGACATCCTTCATTCTTTTTTTAAAAAAAATATTAGACAAATGCAAACAAAAAAGCAGGGTAATGATCTTTGCTAGATGAGGTTCAGGACAAAAAGCACTAAACACATGAAGAAAGATGTGTTATGATGCTAAAGCATGCAGTTAAAAATAAAAAGACATGTTATAGGGGCACCACGGTGGCTCAGCAGCTGAGCATCTGCCTTGGCTCAGGACGTGATGCCAGATCTCGGTTCTGGCTATACATGGATCTGCGGTGGCAAATTGGTACAGTATCTGTGAGTGACACTTTGGCAATATGGGACACTATTTCAACAGTCTGAATCCTTCAATTGCACGATTCCACTTCGAGGAATTTATTTGAGAGATTTACTTGCACTCACATAAATGAAATACGTATGAAGATGTACATGTGAAATGTTGCAGCTCTGTGACAGCAGGCATTTTTAAAAAACCTCATTTTCATCTCTACAGACCCCATTAAATAAATTATAGTATGTCCTTAATGGAATACTATTCAAATATCAAAAAATAATGACACTCTCAGGTGCTGAAATAAAAAGATTTTCAAGGGCAGCCCCAGTGGCGTAGCGGTTTAGCACCGCCTGCAGCCTGGGCTATGATCCTGGAGACCTGGGATCGAGTCCCACATCAGGCTCCCTGCATGGAGCCTACTTCTCCTGCCTGTGTCTCTGCCTCTCTCTCTGTGTGTGTGTGTGTGTCTAAATAAATAAATAAATAAATAAATAAATAAATAAATAAATAGATTTTCAAGATACATTTAATGGGGGACAAAAGCAAATCTGTTACAGGGTAGTACAGTACTATCATGTAGAATAGTGTGTGTATGTTTTCCTTATTTAAAAAATAAAGGTGGGATCCCTGGGTGGCGCAGTGGTTTAGCACCTGCCTTTGGCCCAGGGCGCGATCCTGGAGACCCGGGATCAAATCCCACATCGGGCTCCCGGTGCATGGAGCCTGCTTCTCCCTCTGCCTATGTCTCTGCCTCTCTCTCTCTCTTTCTCTGTGACTATCATAAATAAATAAAAATTTTAAAAAAATAATAAAGGTGAAGAAACTACCAAGAGTGGTTACCCATAGGAAAAGGTGGAAGCTGTGCAGAGAGGGGACAGGCAAGGGAAGAAGACTTGCACACTTCTGTTTTTACACTTATGGATTTTTGTTTTTTATCATATCACCAGTACATTATTTCAGGTGAACTTCAGAATTACTTTGTCAGGTTTCCCCCTACTATTTCATAGCAAAACTTTAAAAATATTGTTTATGATTATGTATACAGTAGTTCCCCCACATCCGCAGTTTCTCTTTCTGCGGTTCTGATCACCTGTGGTCACCTGTGGTCTGGAAGTAGATGATTCTCCCCTGACTTATTATCAGGGGTGAATGGTAGCCTAAGGCTCTATCACAATGCCTACATCATTCACCTTACTTCACCTCACCATCTAGGCATTTATCATGTCACAGAATCGCAAGAAGAAGGGGGAGTACAGATATTTTAAGAGAGAGACCACATTCACATTACTTTTTTTTTTTTTAAGTTTATCTAGGGAAACAGGATTATTATTATTTTTTTATTTATTTATGATAGTCACAGAGAGAGAGAGAGGCGCAGAGACATAGGCAGAGGGAGAAGCAGGCTCCATGCACCGGGAGCCCGATGTGGGATTCGATCCCGGGTCTCCAGGATCGCGCCCTGGGCCAAAGGCAGGCGCCAAACCGCTGTGCCACCCAGGGATCCCTCACATTACTTTTATTACAGTATATTGTTACAACTGTTCAATTTTATTATTGGCTATTGTTAATCTACTGTGCCTCGTTTATAAGTTAAACTTTATCATAGGTATGTGTGTGTAGGAAAAAACGTATTTGGTTAGGCACTATCTCCAGTTTCAGGCATCTGCTGGGGGTCTTAGAATGCATCCCCCCACAAGTAAGGAGGGGCCCACTGTATTTCAGTTAGTAAAGCTGGGATATTGTTTTCTCTGTTAATGAATAGGAATTATTTCCTGGTCCTAACTGTCTTGTAGTCCTTCCAGGTTGAGACTTAGGGAACTTAGGTGGGAAAGAAGGATCTCTAGATCTGGATTGCTTTTTCCCCTGTGTACCAGTGGATATGACATGCTGACTTTTGTGTCTCCAACAGACTGTAAGGTCTACAAATGGAAGACTTTTTAAAAAATCGGTCTTGCCACTGGAGTGTGACACCCCAGTGCTTAGAACAATGCCTGGCACATAGGAGTTACACAGTAGGGCAGCGTAATTCATTCTATAAATCCTTATTGGGTGCATACTATGTGCTGGGCACTGTTTTTAGACCTGTGGGGTACATCAGTGGAGAAAGCAAAGATCTCTGCTGTTGTGTAACTTTCTTTTCTCTCCTGCCTGTCCCTTAAATTTACTTGCTGTGAATGGTACCTTCTATCTAGTTGCCCAACTGAGAAACTCCCAGAAACCTGGGAGTTGATTCCTTTGTCTTCTTCATCCTTAACATCTAGTTAATCACCAGGACCCCCTGAACATCTTCAGAATCTGTCCTCCTTCTTCATCCAAATCATCCCTTCCTGGGCCACTGTCATCTCTTAATTTACTATTGACATTTTGGGCTGGGTAATCCTTTGTTATGAGGCTGTCCTGCACATTGTAGGATGTTTGGCAGCATCCCTGGCTACACTCACCAGATGCCAGTAGCACCCTCCCTTCTCCCACTGCAGTTGTGACAACTAAAAATGTCTCTAAATACTGCCACATTTTCCCAGGGGGAATATCCATATGGTTGAGTGCCACTGCTCTAGATCATACTGTTGGAGGGCATGACCCATATCTGTCGGCTCTGCTTGGCTGGGTCTGTGAAGGTTTCACAAAGAGGCATAAAAACAGGATCTTACAGGATGAGCAAATGTTCACCAAGACACAAGGAAATGGGAGAATATTATGGGTCAAGATGACAGCACATGGAAACTCTTAGAAGTATGAAATGACCTGGCACATCCAAGGCTGTGGGTTGTTTAATATGGCTGGAATGTCGCTGCCCATGGCAGATGGACAGGAGCTGATCCTGGAAGGGGGAGAGTGCAAGTCTTGGAAGGCTTGTGTGTCACACACCAGTGACTTTATCCTTTAGGCCAGCCAGTTCTCAACTGTCATGTCACAACACTTGGGTGTGTTGTAATCGCTTCTGAGGTGAGGTGTCTCAAGTCATAACTCAAAACAAGGTTTTAAAATGAATAAAGCAATAGAGTGAACCAAGGTGAAGTTATGCCTGTAATACCGTCTCACTCATTTTGAATTTTGCTATAGGTTGTACAATGGCAGAGGCAGGGGTGCTTAATTTACAACCTGTGCTCCCCCTGTACTCTGCATGCTGAGGAAGTGTGTCTCACATGAATTACATGACCCCGAGTGCGTCGTGGCAGAAAAGAGGTTGGGAACTGCTACTATCCACCTGGGAAGAATCAACCATTTTTAAAACGAATGAGTGAACAAAATTAAGTTAGCATTCTGGAACAAGCCCTTTGGCTGAAAGGTAGAGAATGGATGTTGCAGTACCATCCTGGGGATAGGGACACCAGTTAGGGCACTGATGCTGGGTTCAGGTGTGTCACAGTGGGAGTCTGCATGAGGCAGAGGCAGAAGAAATGGAAGTACTTGAGAACTGTTATGGGTTTATGCTTAATAGGATTTCATGAGCAGATGAGGGAGCTGAGTGAGGAAGAAGAGCTAGGATGACATCTAGGCTCTAGTTTGGCTGATTAGGGATGCAGGAGCGGATCAGGATGGGGAAGGGAAGTTCAAGATAATGTTATAGGCAAGTTATTATTGGGAGCTTGTGGAGTATCAGGGTGGCGGTGTCCAGGTAAGCACAGTTATTATTGGGAGCAATGGGAGAGGTGGAGACAGTTGTTGAGATTGTTCAGGAAAAGTCTAGAATAAAAAGAGAAGACTATCAGTGTCAGCACTGGATGGTACAGCTGGACTCAAGGATAGTACAGGTTGAAAAGGAGGGATCTGGGAACTGGGATGCCAGCTAGGAGAGAATGGGAAAAGAGAGTTGGGGGAAGGCTTGGATGTGTATATTTGTGTCAGCCAATGGGTCTGCAGGGCTGGATGGTGTTTGAGCCTATGGCATTCTCTCAAATTCACATTGGCCCTTGTTATCCTTTCTAGGTGGCAGACACTAATTGGTGGACTTCTGCTTCACGTGTCATGGAAGCTAGGCTGGGCCGAGATCAACAGCACTTCAAGGTAGAACTACCTCTTCTTGCTTGATTCATGATTCATACCCTGCATTCTTTTCACATTATTTGATTTCTTCTGGTGTTACGTTGGGAAACACGGATGTATATTTGAGTTGCTTGATCTCTTAGTTCCTTTCTGAGATTTTAATGCTTTTATAACCATATAGAACTCAAGGAGTGTTGTCCTAGTTAGTGGTTACTAATATAATATTAGAATTAATTGAGATACATAATTTATAACACTGTATTAAGTGAGCTTTGTGTTAGGTCATGGGAGCACAGTATATGGGTTTCTAAATCAATTTAAAAATTTTCTTGTAAATTTTTAATTTTGAAATTATTTACTACTTTACAGAACAGTTAGAAATAGTGCAAAGAACCTCTGTACCCTTTACTCATATTCCTCAATTATTATTTTACCTTGCTTCTCCCATCATTTTCTCTTGAGATAAATATATATTAAATATATATATATATACAATTTTTTCCTGAACTGTATGAGAATAAGTTACAGATTTGAGAGTAAAATGCCTGTTTTCTTTATTTCTAAATTCTTTAGTGTGATTTTTCTTTTTTTTTCTTTAAGAATTTATTTATTTAAGGGAGAGAGAGAGAGAGAGAGAGCACACAAATGAGAGGGGCAGAGGGAGAGGGAGAGAGAGAATCCCTAGTGGACTTGGTGCTAAGTGCAGAGTCAGATGCAGCGCTTGATCCCATAGCCCTGAGATCACAACTTGAGCCAAAACCAAGAGTCGGTTGCCCAACCAACTGTGCCACCCAGGCACCCCTTTAGTGTGTATTTTCTAAGAGCAAGGACATTTTCTTACCTGGCTGCAGCTCAGTAATCAAAATCAGGAAATTAATATTGATGCAATACTATTATCTACAGACCAAATTCATAGTGGAAGAAGTGATTGGTCAACAATGCATTAGAATTTTTTTTTAATATTTTATTTATTTATTCATGAGACACACACACAGAGAGGCAGAAACACAGGCAGAGGGAAAAGCAGGCTCCCTGCTGGGAACCCGATGCAGGACTCCATCCCAGGGCCCCAGGATCACAACCTGAGCCAAAGGCAGACGCTCAACCACTGAGCCACCCAGGCATCTCAAAATTTACCATTTAAAACAATTTGTAAGTGTACAGTTCATTAGCATTAAGTGCATTCACAGTGTTGTGCAACCATTACCACCATCCATCTGCGGAAATTTCCCATCATCCCAAACAGAAATTCCTTAACAAACAATAACTCCCCACCTTGCCTTCCCTCCCACCAGCTCCCAGTAACCACCGTTCCATTTTCCATCTCTATGATTTTGCCTCCTATAGGTACCTCATTTAAGTGGAAGCATACAGTATTTGTCCTTTTGTCAGTCATTATTTCACTTACTGTCCTCAGAATTATCACAAGTAAAAAAAAAAAAGAATTATCACAAGTATCAGGATCTCCTCCCTCTTTGAGGCTGAATAATATTCTGTTGCATGTATACACTGCAATTTGTTTACCCATTGCATCTGTTGGTGGAATTCTTCTGCCTTTTTTTTTTTTTAAAGATTTTATTTATTTATTCATGAGAGACACAGAGTGAGAAAGGCAGAAACACAGGCAGAGGGAGAAGCAGGCTCCTTACTGGGAGCCCAATGAGGGACTCCATCCCAGGATCGCGGGATCAACGCCCTAAGCCGAAGGCAGATTTCAACCACTGAGCCACCCAAGCATCCCCTTCTGCTTTTTGAGGGAGGGGAAAGAGGAATGACTCTAAACTGGATAAACTCAAAGATTCTTAGGTTCTTTGCCCTGGAAGAAGTGATCTTCCAATATTAAAAATTTGAGACCCAGTAGACACTGTTGTCCCTTGAACTTACGTGATGCTGGGTTCTACCCGTTGCAGATCTGTGGTCATACCCTCTTTCAGTCCCCCTGCTAAATTCTCAGAGACCATCTCACTTCTGTGTCCTGGACTTTCTTAGGTGGCTTCACAGCCTTACACATGATGTCGGCTCAGTTAAGCTCCTGTCAAAGATCTTAGCATCTTAGTTTGTAGTGGATCTTGTGGTTAATGACCGCTGGCACAGCTCAGGATTTCTAGTTGCCATGGACCCTTGGTAGAAGGGAGTGACCAGATGGCTAGCAGCAAGGACCTGGCCCCAATGTTCCTTCGTGTGTTGCCAGGGTAGGTTTGTGTTTGCCACAGTTGCGTTTCCTACTGGGCTTGGCTTTCTGATTATATCAGTAGAGAACTGAAGCCCAGCTTTGCTGTGTGATTGTGCACTTAGGTAGAGATAGCAGAGGTTGGACCCTACTAAAAATAAAAACAGCAGCAGGCAGACAGCTTGGAGTCCCTGAGGTCATTGCGGAATGGGGATTGTACCAGTGGGTCGTCCCCAAATCAATATTTAATAACATATGCCACGAGAGCTCATTTAGACTCCTTATAGCCTGGAGTGTAGGAGAATCCCAGATTCCCTCTTAAAACAAGTCACAGAACCTGGCATCACATTTCCTACTTTGCAGAGAGGCCATATCTGCTGTGTTGGTCAATCTCTGGCCATGTCATGTATTGACTCCATTGAGTGACCTGATGGAATCAATCTTCTCTAGGATTTTTACTTGGCAACCGTGATCACCAAGTGTTGGATGACACCCTGAGGCCTTCTGTCTTTAGAGAGATAGCACTGGTTTTTAGGCACAAGTTTGTCTTTATATGGCAGCTACTGCCACTGCCAGACAATTGCAGAACAGCAAAGTGATTTTTCTAGCAGATGTCGAAAAATCAACTGTAGACTATCTGTGTTTCCAAAACATGATCCAGAAAACTGACCAGACGTCTGGCAGTGAGACCACGGCATTGGTTACTAGAGTCTGGAACCATTGCTTATAGAATCAGGTGTGATTTCAATGGAGACTTTTCATACCATCCTCTGACTCCTTTATTACCAGAATACATTTTTAAATAAAGATATTTTGAAAGTAATGTGTACATACTACTTTTTTCACTGTATCTAAAACAGACATTTTTTAAAAAGATTTTATTTATTTATTCATGAGAGACACACACACAGAGAGAGAGAGAGAGAGAGAGAGAGAGAGAGGCAGAGACACAGGCAGAGGGTGAAGCAGGCTCCATGCAAGGAGCCTGATGTGGGACTTGATCCTGGGTCCCCAGGATCACACCCTGGGCTGCAGGTGGCGCTAAACCGCTGCGCCACGGGGGCTGCCCTAAAACAGCAAATTTTTAACTCCCAAGTTTTCAAGTATGAGAAGCTCTAAGTGAATAATTCTATGCCACAATTCCTTTGTGACCAGAGGTTTCTAACAGATGAAGAAGAAAGCCCCACTCCTTAATTTTCCACTGAGAATCTTTGCTGGAGAACCATAAAAAATTTCTTTGATAAAACCTCCAAATTAACTCAGTCCTGTCCCTAAAGAAATGAACAGTGAACAAATCAATTAGGATAATTCTTTTTATGATTGATTATTTGTTTTTAAGTGAAATAGCTCATCTTCATCAAAGTTACCTGTGGTTGGAGTTTCTCAAATATGTTTTAATGTGTTGGCATTTCATTTTGAGTGATTCTTAACAGTTTTATGAACAGTTACCTTTGCTCAGAGAGGAAAATTAACACTCAAATTCTTATGTTTTGGATATTTTTTCCTGTTGTTTTTTTTCCCCAAGGAATTCTTTATGTGTATATGTAGGAATTACTTTTTGGGAATGATAAAGCCAGCTTCCAAAGCATTTTCAGGAAAGATACAGAAAGCCACTGAAGAGACATACTATTGAATAAAATCTGATTGGTGTTTGTGTGGTGATTATGGTAGTTCTCAGGAGAAAAGCCCATGAGACCAGCGATGGCAGAAGGACAAGATTTTTTTTCAGTTTTATTGAAGTATAATTGCCAAACAAAATTGTAAGATTTTTTTTTAATTGTAAGATGTTTAAAGCGTACATTATGGTAACACAGTATACGTATACATTGTGAAAGATTCCTTCCATCTAGTTAATGAGCATATCCATCACATCACATATTTATTTGTTTGTTTTGGTGATAACATTTAAGTTCTACTCTTTTAGGAAATTTCAATAATATGACATAGTGTTATCAACTATAATCACCATTTTATGTATTAGATTCTGAGACTTTATCTTATAGCTGAAAGTTTGCACCCCTTTATCTACTTCCTCTATTGACCCACCCTCGGCAACCACCTTGACCCACCCTCGGCAACCACCTTTCTTTTCTTTGTTTCTGTGAATTTGAGTTTTTGTCTTTGTTGCTTTTTAGTTTTTCCTTTTTTTAAGACTCCATGTATAATTCTAAATACCATATGGTATTTTTCTTTCTTGGGATAGAAGTTTTGGACCTTCAAATTTTATAATGGCTGAAAGTCATGCCCATACCACCCAATGCGAAGGAATCTACTGAACTCACACTTTAGTGTCGACCACACTTCATATTGCTGCTGAATCCTGTCCATAGAGTGTTTTGCAACAACTTAACTCTACCTTTGTAGCAGGAAAGCCACCACAGACCGCATAAACAGATGGGTGTGACTGTGTGCCAATAAAATGGTATTTTCAGCAACAGGCAACAGGTGGGATTTGGCCCATGCGCCATAGTTTGCTGACTCTTATTCCAAGTTATGCACTGTGAAAAATTGTATCATCACAGGGTTCTTGAGTTCAGGTAACATTAAGGCTGAACTTTGTCAAGGGAGTTGACCCGCTATGAGTCAGAGGAAGAATAAAGAATGAAGGAGGAAATGTCTAAGAATAGTAGGAAATAGAACATTGAGTAAAATTCTTGGAGAATCATATTCACCCGTAATGGACGCCCCCCCCCCAAATGAAATTTAGGCATCTGCTTTAAGTAGGGAGTTAATATGTGTAGAAGTCAAAAGAAAATGAAGAAGAATATATGCAGAAGTCCTTGTACACTGTAAAGCAAATATTGACTTTACAGTTGTGAAATATTACTGTTTTAGGTAATGCCAATAGTCT